GTCTGCGGTAGGACAAGGTGAAGAGTGTCAGCTCTTTATGTCGGTCTTCATACGTGAGGCCAGCCATCGCGGGGATCATACCAGTGGCTACCACCCGAACTCTTTCTAGAAGGTCCGCGTCACCTTTCAGACAAGGATAAGCCGCCTGTGTACAGTCTTCTAACTCAGACCTTACTGAGGATGTGTATAAGTTGGCGAACGTGTCCCCACCTATTTTCGCAAACGTTCTACGTAATGCCCATAGGGTCCTAAAACTCGGAGCTGCCACCAACCGACAGTGAGCCGTGGTTTTCAAGTCATAACTCACTGTGACTCCTAGGTCATTGTGGGTCAGTACTAATGGTGGGGAATCTCATCAATATCGTAGGTGTTGCTGTATGTGTGCCCCAAGCCCAAGCCCACGCATTTACATGCACTGATAGGTGTCAGCCAGTTCCCTGATCGGGTAAACAGGCTGTTCAGGTCTGCCTGAAGCGCACGCATATCCTCGTCGTTCCTAATTCCCCGCCAGATTTTTACATCGTCAGCGTAGAGAAATATAGGAGATTTAGTGATATTTAGCAGCTCATTTAAGTATAGGAGAAACAACGGGGGGCCCAGGACTATGCCTTGCGACACTGCACCCTCTACCGACTTCCAAGTGGAGAGTTAAGGATTGATCGTAACTCTTCGTCTTGACCATGGCAAAAGGCTGCCAGCGATTCCAAAGCTTTCCAGTTTCCCAGGCAACCTGAAATGGGGTACTTTGTCGAACGCCGTACTAAGGCCGATGAAAATGACATCTACAGGTATCCTATCATCTTTAGACTTAATCCAACTTTATCTGACTGTAAGAAGGTTCGTTAAGAAAGAGAAATTTCTACGACAACCATACTGCGAAAGAGGCAATAGGGTGTTGCTCTCCAGGTGGACTAAGATGGCTTTATTGATCACTCTTTCTAAGATTTTCGACCCAGTACTAGTCAAACATGTCGGTCTGTAGTTTGATGGGAGCTGCCCAGGACCCGCCTTGTGGATAGGTTTTAGTATGGCATCCTTCCAGCCATAGGGGAGTGTGCCTTCAATGAGACGGTCTGAATATAGTGATCAATGTGCCGGCTGCATAGAGTGCAAGCTCTCTGAGCAGCCTTGGGTGCAGCTCATCCGGTCCCGTTGATTTTTCCACATCGAGAGTACTTAATGACCGAAATGCATCATAATGATTGACATTCACAGGGTTTGTTCTGTTGGATATCAATGCTTCTTCTGTTGGTTAAGTGTCCATAGAGGATTTCTGTGTGAAGTCCTCAGTAAAATATCCAGCCACGGCTTCTGCTTTTTCCACACCGCCCTCAAGCAAACAGTCAGTTTCGGTTCCATTGTGATCTGTGGGTTGAGTTTAGGAGAAAGGAATTCTCAAATGATTGGCTGGCGATCACCATCTTTGCATGACCACCTCTCTGAGATCTGCCATTTATTCAAAGGAAAGTGGTGCCTCAGCAGAATCTTGCAGGACTCTGTAGTAGGCTCATTTGTGTCCCACATACAAAGGCTGTTTGCCTCTCCAAACATTGTCTGAAAATATCTTCCCTACTGGAAGTGTCCGGAGGTAGACGGAAATCCAACATTTTAACGATGGACTCAGTTTCTGCGATGATGTGGCCTGACATCAAAACTACGTGGAATACAACTGGCCAACTTCCACCTACAAAAAACGTAAGGTGTCTCATCCACGAAGCACATCCGGGCCCCAGCAGCAGACGGCGAGGGACATCTCTGGTACAAGCATACTGCAGAATTTCCCCACCATGACTTTAAGTTTAATGCCGGGATTAAAATGTGTCCTTCTCAAGCCTATTACTTGATACCTTGATAGACTGCTCAACGGTTTCATCGTAGGATGTCGGCTAAATCTTCAACACCTTTAAGCGCCTGGTTTAGAACTCAGGATTATAATATCTCTTACCTCACCGCAAAGGTATCAGTACCGCCTTAGACTTCTCAGGGGCGCAGAATACAAATATTAGATTATCCACTCTTTTAAGGCAAGAAATTGGAGGTTGCTTTAGTCTCTTTAAAAGTTCTTCGTAGATTAGGTCGGGTAGACCAATCATCAACTTTGCACTAACTCTGTAAAGATCCTGTAGCACATTAGACATATTACATAAGATACATTAGATGATTGCAAATTCATTTCATTCGAAGGCAACATTCGTGGGAGAGCGGCACAGCGTCTAAAATAGATCTAAAGCAAAGCATTGGAAGACTGTACAAAGAAACGAATGTATTATTATTATTATTATTATTAGTCCCTTGGGTTCCTAGTGGAACATAGGGCTTCAGTAGCACGCCTCCAGTGACCTCTGTTCTCTGAGATCTTTTGAACCTGGTTCCACGACAGCCCACAACCTCTCATTTCCTCCTCGCATGACCTCCTCCATGTCACCCTCGGACGTCCAACTCGTCGATTCCCATGGGGATTCCACTCGAGGGCCTGACGCGTGATGTCCTCAGTCGGCCTTCTCAGTGCATGCCCAATCCATCTCCACTTCTTCCTGCATATTTGTTGCGTGATAGGTTCTTGGTTGGTTCGTTCCCAGAGTTCCTTGTTGCTTATTCTTTTTGGCCATCTGATCTCCAGTAGCAAGCGTAAGCAGTTGTTGATGAATGTCTGTAGTTTATTGGAAATGCCTTTCGTGACGCGCCAAGTCTCTGAACCATACAGGAGCACTGAATTGATTGAAGTTGGTGTTGAACATCCGTATCTTGTTCCTCATGCTGAGTGCAGATCTCCACACTGGTTTCAGGCTAATGAACGCCTGTCTTGCTTTTCCGATTCTGACTTTGACGTCCTCGTCCGTCCCGCCTGTAGTTGAAACACTGCTTCCTAGATAAGTGAAGGAGGTTACTTCCTTCAAGTTTCTCCCGTTGACGGTGATTGTAGTTTGTTGTTGTTGTTGATGGTGGTGGTGCGGTATCTTCATCACTTCTGTCTTCTCTATATTCACTTGAATGGTGTCCCGTCTTAGCTGCCTCTTCTATCAACTTGTTAGTTTTTGCCTGCAGATCTTCAAGTTTATGTGACATTAGGCACAAGTCATCGGCGAAATCCAAGTCTTCTAGGTTCTTTTCCGTCGTCCAGCGTATCTCCCTCTTCTCGCTGCCTACTGTTTGCTGCATGATCCAGTCCACCACAATAAGGAATATCATGGGGGATAGTAGAAACGAATGTACCTTGATTCATTTCTCTGCAGCTACATTGTAGTGTGCAAATGTATTCAAGCCGTGTGGGATTATCATTCCGAAATCTCTAATACCTCTAGCATCGGGTAATTGTGTCCCATGTGCCAGAATTCAACACGTGTCTTAATGTGCATTACCTGTATGGGGTGTAAAATCTTCCTTTCAGCCACTACCTGGGATGAACAAGAGATGCGGAACAACACCACCGAAGGACTTTTATCACTACTAAATGTATTGACTATACTTATTAAAATGATTAGCGTTTGTAAATTCGGAAACATTATTATCATCATTATTACTGGTGGCAACCGCTTCAACCAATATACAGAACCGCATGGCTGTCAGAACCAACTACAATGACAATAATAAAACGAAACAGATGTTGACAGAAACAAGAAGGGCGGGAGGCGTAATCCTATAAGTTAAATCATGTTGACGACCACGGCAATGAATTGGTCGAACAGACTTCTTTCGAATACATGGATTACTCACTCGTCTACTTCACATAGCAGAGGCAGTTGCAATCTACCTTTACAAACCCGAAGTTTGTATTCCAGAGTAGTTTGTTCGGCGACTTTCATTACCGTAGCCATCAACATGACATGACTTCTAGGATTACTTTGTACACCCCCTCCAGTTCTTGTTTTTATCAACATCCATTTGTTTTATTATTGTTACTCAATCGCTTGTTGTGAATGACTGAACACCAATCAAAAGTCACTCCATTTACCTAGGAATAGCCCACTCCATATTCCCAATTTTAGTAACTATTGATTATCCACATCATTATTTCTAGAACATCATCACGTGACCGGTAATTTGATCAAATTCTAAAACTATATATCAGTGCAGAACCCAAAATGAGTTCGGTGAAGTCTGCCTGAACTATATTCATGTCTGCCTCACTGTAGATAACCGTTCATATTTTTACGCTACCTATAAATACCATGACCAAAGGCTCGGTCACATCCGGCAGTTCACTGAAAGTCGACATGAAAAAAATAAGGAGCCAAGAGTGTAATCCGAGGCATCTTGGTCATTACGCATTGCTTCTTAGATATTTGTTACCAGTCGCGTAAAAATTCTTTGATGCAAACCAACATCAAAGTGTCACATTTGGAACTTAGGAGCTTCATTATTAGTCCAAGGTGAGAAATCTCAACCAAAGCCTTACTTGAGTCACGAACTACTACCACTTCTACTCCGGTTATTAGGAGCTTGGTTAGGAAGGAGCGACCAGCCAGGAAGCCTTGTTGTAGTGAGGCAAGAATACTCTGACTTTGGCAAAACCCAGTGCAGATAATCTTCCTGGGTACTATCTAATCAGATTATTCAAGCTAGCTGGAGGATAGTTCGAGCTCACCTCTGGGACTCAGGTCCGAACCGTATGAATAATGAATGGCAGCACATGATCTATATCCCTTTAAGTAGGTAAAAACATGAGATAACCCAAGAATTGTGGACACCATTATAAATTCCTCAAGTCACCTGTCTTATCACGTGCACAGGATGGGCTGCAGCACAATTTTTAGAGTGAAAGTAAGGGATTAAAATTTTAACTTAGCCAAATATATATTTTTCACAGGTTTTAAATCCTGTGGAATACAATGAGGAGAGGTTTGCTGATTTTAGACACAAAAGTTGGTAAGATCGAAGTTTCTTCTGTTGCACAGTGACATGTTTGAAACTGTTCTACATTGCGAATTGTTCCGCAAGACGGAGAAGAGAGCAAGAAGAAATCAATTGATTCACACAAGCTTGCTAAGCAGATATTAGACATTGGACAGCGGGTTCTTCAAGAAAATTGCTTCGTTGCCACTGTTGCAGTAGTCTGTTGGTACGGTTACTTTACTGCTTCACATCTTGTCAAATGTTCTTTTTTTTTAACAACAGAATGCCTATGCACACTTATTGTATTGGTATATGTGACAGGAGTCTAAAACTTCATGATTAAATTTTTAATTACCGTCCGCTTTTAACTGCTAGTGAGATCCGGTCATGCCTTCTAGTAAGGAAAGATAGTTGACAAAATATAGTTTAATGGATAACAACCTATCCGTCTGGAAGTTTTGCGCGCAGGGTGGGGCCGAAAATCGAGCACAAATCATGTGTGTATGGTCTTTAGTCTTTTGACCATAATCTCTCAAGTGATTATTCGTATAAAGTAAGCCAAAACCTGTTTGCTAAAACCAAATCCTTAGAAGTGTTAAATCTTTGCACTAGTAGTAGCGGAGCTCATGAAACAAACTGTTATGCCTTGTATTAGAGCAAAGGGTTTATGCAACATCTTACTTCTTTTTCACTATCAGTATTGGCACCTCTACTTTAGAGTCACATATAGTTACTTGATTCTTCTGTGTGGACTAATGCATCAGAGTCTAGTATTCCCGTTGATGGATTGCTTGTAGCAATAGTGGGTTAGCAATTTGGTAATAAAGGGGAATTAAAGGGGGGAAAAGTAGACAATTATAAGGAAGCTGTGTAAAAAAAGAAGGTGAATAGGAGGAGAAGAAGCGACTTTGTGAGGGAAAAATAAGACAAGTGAGGAAAATAAAGCGACTTCGAGGGGTAAAGTAGACATGTAGGTTGGCAGAGGAAGATGACTTCAAGGAGAAAAGGCATGAGAAAAAGAAATCCGTCGCACTTCCCCACGATTGTGGCTTTGTTTTTCTCTCTCCTCCCTCCTTTCCTTTACATACACTCTATTCTTGTCTTGGTCTGCATGGGATGTTGAAGATTCTTAGTTCAGGTCTATCAAGAGTAAGGTCATGTGTCTTGGAAATGTTAGGTTGAAGTTAGTATCGTAAATGCAGGCTTGTGCCTAGAAACTCTGGATGCTAGGCCGTGTAATTAGTCAACAAATGCATAGCATGCAGTTACTCATCTTTTTCTTGCCACTAAATAGTGGGATTTCCAAGTCCATTTGGGACGTTCCTATGGGTTATCATTCAGGTATTATGTCTGAGCTTACAAAACCCTCTGTTAAAATGTGCATTGTCAAACAAAATTAGCACAAGACTCTGGAATATTTAACGGACAATCCAAAAAAGTGCAGTGTGGTTGCATTCTTATGCTTCATTTTGAAAACACTTTGTTCAAGCATTCTACTTATCAAATAAATGAACGCACTACTCATTTACATCGCAGTACTTTTTCCAACTTCACTTTCATGATCATTTTGAAAACCAGTTTGTCATTGTCCCGTCAAAATTGTAATGCACTCAGCAACCTTGTGCACACGCATGCAGTAGTCGACGGGCCACACTTGTTTGAGGCCTGATGATACTACCTGGTGTTGAAACCCGTAATCTACAGATTGACCCATACAGCTCTCACAATCTACAGACGTAAGATTACAGAGTTTCATTTGCATTTTGGAGTTCACTGACAGTAGATAGACAAACAGCTAAATACAGCTTAAAATACTACCTGTTGCTCCAAGTTAGCGCTTCGTATATGCAAATTAACTTGTAAGGTGACAAAGACTGAAAAAAAATCCTAGAGAATATCTTTCGTATAACGTAGTCTGTGGTAGAGGTACTTCCATCAAACTGGTCTATATTACTAGTAATCCCACTTTCAAGGAAATGTGAAGTGTTTCTGTGACAACCATAAGCGAGTCAGTTTCACTAATATCGTCTGTAGCAGTCAGAAGCCTAGTCAGGGCTGGAAAACAACAAACTCGGGAAAACCAGGTAGGTCCCAGTCCTGGATGAGGGTGCGTCGACCATATCTTCACTCTTTGACGCATTTCAGAACACTGAATTACTTACCGTGCCTGTCAGGAATGCCCCCTGTCACCGTTCCTGTTTAACTTCATGGATGTAATATTAAAGATAAATGACATCACTGCATGAGGTCTGAGCCATCTAGGCAAATGTAGGCTATCCAGTTCCAGTCTATATGATAGTATATTTTCTCATTCTTGCTTTCTCTGTTTTGGTACTTTACATTCCTTTCGACTGAATTTTCTTTTCCTTATCTTGTACTTCACTGCCTTCTTACTTGATGTACTGATATGGGGTGTGGCAACTCGGACCGTTACGCAGTAAAACCTGATTCTATGTTGACTTGGATGAATGACTATATGACACCAAAATGGGTAATAAGTAATATGGCTCAGAATCAATCTCAGTAGCGTAGATGCATCCACAAATTATCTTCGTCTTAGTCATCCTACTGAATTCCAGTATTGTCTCGCTGCTCTTTGTTCTCTTTTAACAACTTTCAACCACTTTCGACTGTTATTCTTTCATTTCTGCATCTCGATGCCTTCTACATTGATATGCTGATACGTCGTGTGACTACTTGACCTGGAAATGGTATTTGATTCTGTCGACCATGAGGTATGGAAGTGTCTGACTAGGAAAAGGGTAGGAAGCTCTCTACTCGAACTGACGCAGCCGTGTAACAGCTTATGGAGAGTTGTCATCTGAACTAACGACGACTAGTAGTGTTCGCAGGGGTGACAGTCGTCATAAATCCTGCCCAACTTCTTGACAGACGTATTCTTGGACGTAACATTGGGTACCTCTGACTTCAGGTGAATTGATTTACTTCCTGAAGATCATTTGGTTGACTTGGATTATGCAAACGATGTTGTCCTGCTGGGTGAAGACATTGACAAACGCGTTTAGCAGAAATGTAAGTTTGGCATGTTTATAGCACCTGTCGAATGTAGGGCTGGTCTGCAACTACTTCCAGTTTAGTTATAGGGAGTGAAGTGGTGGAATATGTCGGTCACTTACTTAGGGAGTTGCATCAGCCCGAACGTGTTGGTAGATGACGAAATCTCAGCTCGGATGAAGGGCTGTTTGGGACTTGCCAACTTGCGCCATCTGTGGTGCCGGCTGGTGAGATACCCAACTATCTATGAAAGGACGAGTATGCCGTGCTGCATTTTATTCCGTCGTGTTATACAGCTGTGAAACATGGCCGTTGTAAGTAGAAAACATGAAAAGACTATAGGATTTTGATCATAGGTTTCTTTGTATCGTTGCTCGTATTTGGTGGAATCACCGTGTAAGCTATGCTGAGGTCAGGCTAAGGGTACTAGACAAGACAGGCAAGTCGATTGGTGAGTTTGTTAACCCTAAGCTGACTGAGATGACTTGGACATGTGTTGTGCTTGCCGAGCCACCACTTAACTTGATGTGTTATGCTGGGGGAGGTAAGAATAGGTTGGACGGGGGTTCAGGGTGGCTAGACCAAGGTATTATTCCAGTCGATGGAGTCTCTTACTGTTGGTCTGCGTCGTGTTGGGATATTCAGACTGCGTGGTTTGGGTCCCCAAGGTGATAGGAACCAGCGGCTGAGGACTGTTGTTGACATGGCTGAAAATTGGTCATGATGGTGCAAATGTATTCAGCCCTTTACATCTACAGCTTAAATTTTCACGCTGAACGTTATCTTCAAATTACTCATTCTCCCACACCACCTTGTCTACTTTGATATCACTCTTTCTATCCACCTGTTGTTTGTATACTACTGTGAAGTGTTGAAACTTGATCCGATGCACTTGTGTGCGAGGTTCTACGCTGATTTTATCAATCAGTCGGTCCAACAGTAAAATATACTCTGTTGACTGTCAGTGTACCCACCGATTGGATTCTGGTTAACATTCGTCCGTGCTCGCTTGCGATAAGCAGTTCCATGCGAACTCAAAAGGTTCGTATTACATTGATGCCTGTTTATGGTCTTACTCATTGTACCTGGTGAGTTGTATCGACAGCCGTTAAACCCCTTTCCAAAATTCAAATCTGTGGGCGTAGAAGAGCACAAAACTTTGGTCCACCGTCTTTTATTGATTCACTCCTAACTTGTAATACCAGTAATAACACCAGTAATTTTGCTTGAAATATTACCAAAAACTAAATAAAATCACTGTGTAAACACTCATTCAAAATATATTTCTAATAAATTGTGAATCTGTTGTTTTGTTTAGCCTCTTGCTCTGTCCTGGTATCTTACCTTAGGCAATAAGACAAAGCGTTAGTCAGTAATACTAATGCACAAAGGCAGTGTCGTAGACACAAGCTTAATGCAATAACTATGTTCATATCACTAGCACACGTCACAATTCTGTTATAACAGACTTCACTGCTTGGAGGCTTGTGTAGAGCAAATATCCTGACCGATAGCTGCTACCTTAATGTAGTGGTCAGGCTTGCATATCACAATGACCCAAAGAGCTATGCTAGTGAAACACTTGTTCCCTCGAGGTCCTACCATACCAGAAAGGTCTGTTGGATAGTGGTTAGACGGAAAGCAGTTACCGTTGCGGTGTAAACTACTACACTATGATGGGGGTCTGAGGGCAAAGTCGTACTGCTCCTAGCTGGATGGGGTGTGACAGTAGTAAGGTGTTTCCCTTGGATGACCAGCCGTGCCATGCTGATGCTGCCTTCTCAGTGAAAGAGGGGGGTTAGAAAAGGTCATCCCCCAAAATAACACATTCCACCATACCTCACGGTCTGCCTGGCGGGCAGTGTTGGCTCATTTGTCGTTTCTTTTTGACCAGCCGGCCCCAAAACAACAAAAGTTCAAAGTAGTCATACACAAAAGGCTGGGTGTGACAGGCCTCAAGCAGATGTCCGATGGGCTCTGCGGTCACACAAATCTCTTTCAGGTACCTTAAGAAGAAATAGCCTTTTACGGTGTGGGCAGCCGGGAAGTTTCAACCGCCCTCACAACTCGATAAGCACTCAAGTTCCCGCAGACTGCTATCCATCTCCCCCACCCTTACCTTCTAATCTTCCTTCACGACTCTCAACTAACGATACTACATCATCTTCAATTTCTCCTAGCTCTGTAGGCTTCGACAATGATCTGAGTCCAGAGGACAGCATTCTTAGTCTCCTTAAACCACGCTCCAAATTACATATTGGAGCCTTCAATGTCCGGACCCTCCGTCGAATCGGTCAACAGGCTTCTTTGAAAAAGACTCAAGCAACGCATGCCATGAATGTGTGCTGTGTTTGTGAGACACTTTAAGTGGCAATTTGAGATTGTTTGAGATTCGTTTCTCACCACCCAAATGCAAATTGCTGCTCCAGAATTGGTCTTCAACGGTGCCACGGCTAACAATAAAGAGTGTAGTGATTGAGTGTCGACCACTTTACTTACCTGGGAAGTAGGATCAGCCCTGATGGCTCAGTGGCCGATGGAATCTCTGCATGGATAGAAAAGGCTCGATTGGCTTTTGCCAACTGACGTCACGTGTGGCACCTTTATGATATCCGATTATCTACTAAGGGTGGCGTGTACCGTACAGGAGTGCGCTCTGTTCTACTGTGTTGCTGTGAAACGTGGTCAATGAAGGTGGAAGACATGGAAAGGCTTCTGGCGTTTGACCACCGTTGCCTTGGTAGTATGGGCCATATTCCGTGGCGTCATCACGTGAGTAATGCAGAAGTCAGGTATAGAGTTTTAGAGAGTAGAGGTAAATCAGTTGACGAGGTTGTGAACCTTCATCAACTGAGATGGTTGGGACACGTGTTACGTATGCCTAGTCTCCGATTGCCTCGTGACACAATGTTGGCCGAAGTAGATGTAGGCTGGATAAAGGGTCGAGGTGGTCAGCCTAAAACATGGTACCAATGTATGTAGTTTTTGACTGTTGGTTTGAGCGTTGTGGGGCGATGCAGAGTAGCCGGTTGAGGTCAGCGAGATAAGAGGAATTAGGGGTTGAAGAGTCTAGATGTGGTACGATGGCTGAGAACCGATGTCAGTGACGCAGGTGTATCCACACATTATCATCATCTTAACATTGTACCGAATCTCACCATTTTTTCATTCTCCCTTTCTCTCTTTTCGTATTATGTTTCTTTTGAGTGAATTTTGTTATCTTCATCTTGCACTTCACTGCCTTTTTACTTGTTGTGGTGATATGATGAGGTGTGGCAACTCAGACCGTTACGCAGTAATGCCTGGTCCTATATTGATATTGATGATGTAAAGCGAATTTCACGACCGATTATTTCCGGTTATTTCTGCGACTATTGTAGATTTCTTTTCCGAATCTGATTGTCCTAATGAAGTTCCATGTGTAAACAAACAGAAAGGCTTCCTCAAGATTCCTTGAGCGTCGCAACCTGTTGAAGAAATAATTGCTGTCTCCTGCAGTTTTCTAATGAATAGCTGTTTGACTTCATATATAAAGAGAGACTCTACGTAACTTAATGACTTTTGACATTGATCAGAAATGGACCTGGGCAGAATGGATGTTTACCGTCGTTGGCAAAAAGTGCTGGCGTTTTCATTGGCTCTCACTAATTGTTTGAATTTGAATTAAGGCAAAAAAGCATACAAGAGTAAAGGCTTTCCATTCTTTATCGCGAAAACTGACTAAAGCAATTATTATAGAAAGGTGATGTATATCACTGTGAAACGGGGATTAGAGAATCACTTTTCAGAAATGACTAAAATGATAAGTGGAACCTTTCATGAAGTTTACAGACACTTGTCTGCGAACTATTGAAGTGCAACCCAGATGGATCACTGTTTTCAGCTCCGAAGTTGAGCAGCGTACAACAGACTTGGTGCGAGGCAATCTATTAAGACCTAATGGCCCTCTTTTACAAATCGTTAAGGATGTTGAGTAGGAATCTCTGGTTTCGTCAAATAATATATTGATTGGCTTAAACAATTTTTGTTTGAAAACTCTTGGTTTCTTCCTTTAAAAGTCTATTGTGAAGCTGTTGTTCACTGGTTTCAGGAGACAACTTTCAACGATGGGTCACGGGTTCGAACACCGCTCCACCTACCGTGGTTTGGGGAACTGGTTAGTATCATCAGTCCTCACACAGTAAGTGTGGCCCATTGCCTACTGCACGAGTGTGCGCATGGTGGCCAAGTTGATTTGAATTTTGATTTAAAGTGTGTCGCGTTAAGGTGTGATCTTGAAATAATCTACTGTGATGAATACTGGTAAAGGTCTTCTTTAGCGTTGTATTTGGTTTTTGCCAATGTGTGACGCCTCAATGTCTTACTGGATATTGCTGACAGTGGAACTAACTTGAGAATGTAAAAAAGATTATTGCTTAAAGCGGGTCAGTAAAATGAAGAATAGTTGTATTAGGTCAACATGTATCGGGGCGTTTAGCAATCTCGATAACACACAAAACCCTGCCAGACAAAGTGGCACAATAAGTTCGTGAAGTTGATACCATTGGTAATATTCTTTCATTTGTCTTACGCGTGAATAACCTAAGAGGTTGTAAGAAGAGAGCTCCGATAAGAACTTGCCGAAGTGCATCTACATTTACCTTCTTTCCTCTTCCTAATAAGTTCTATCTGATTTTCTTTCATTTTCCCTATGCCTTCATAATCGTTGTTCCATCCTAACTGGCACATTTAGTGTTCAGCGTATTTCCATTTTGTGTACTAGGTAATCATGATTTTGTACCATTTGATCTTATTACTAGCTTCACTTTGTTCTGGTTGGGTAAGTTTTGGCTCAATTTTCGCAGATGTGGTATAAGTTATCTTATCTGGATTCTTTTTAGATGAACTTTAGCAAAAATAAGATCATAAATTGTCATACTGAGTTATTAACAAATATTTTGCTTCTTCTCCTAGGTTGTTGCTGTAGCACTTGATAACTGTCTGCTTTTAACAGCAGAAGCAAGTTTAGTGAAAAATTTATTACACGTAATTGCATTTTCCTCATCTAGTATTAACCACCTTAAAGCTGTGTTAGTATTGATCGATTTTGACATCACCTAGGAATGGCAGGCTATCCTCATCACTTTGTCACAGCACATCTTGGCTACCCTGGGTATAGTCATGCAAGTTTCGTGCCTACATCAATTCCAAATCCAGCTACCTCTGTAACACAATTATCAGCGGCCCAAGTTAATGCAGGCTGGGTAGAACATCATTCTCATGATGGAAGAAAATACTATTACAATACTTACACTCAACAGACCACCTGGGAAAAACCTCAAGAATTAAAAACCCAGCGAGAAAGAATACTTTACAATTGTCCATGGAAAGAGTTTAAGTCTGAAAACGGCAAATCTTATTACTTCAATGAGAATACCAAACAGTCAGTTTGGGTCAAACCACAGGAATTAATCGACGCTGAAAATCAAGCAGCAGTGTGTACTCCAGTTGCAAACAATTCAGTTCCTGAACCACCCAATATTATACCACCGCTTACACCATGTACACCAGCGACACCAAAAGACGATGTCAATAAGCCTCCAGAGCCCTCTGAAATAGAACGAGCGATGAAAGCAACTCTTGCGTCTTTTGAAACATCAGATACAGTACCGTTATCAATACCGATTCCACTTCCTCCCGATAAAGGTGATAGTGATAAGGACGAAAGTGATGAAGAAAAGCCTGCGACAAACTCACATTCGACCACTACCTTTTCCCCAAATACTCAGACTGTACCGGAATATAAAACTAGGGGAGAAATGGCTGAAGGTCTCAGGAGACTCTTTAGGGACTGTAATGTCCCAGGTGGAGCAACTTGGGAACAGGCACTGAAACTCATATCTGGGGATCCTAGGTATGCTATCTTGCGGACGTTCAACGAAAAAAAGCAGATATTCAACGTGTACAAGACCCAAAGATTAAAAGAAGAACGGGAGGAGCAGAGAATAAGGATTAAAAGAGCAAAAGAAGATCTGGAAAAATATCTGTTAAAATGTAATAAACTGCATTCAACTATGTCATATCGCAGGGTAGACCAGCTGCTTTCGGAAACAAAGGAATGGACTGATGTCCCAGATCGTGATCGCCGTGAGATATTTGATGATGTCATGCAGGAAATTGGCAAACGTGAAAGAGAAGAAGTCAAAACATTGCGCAAAAGAAATATACGGGTGTTCAATGAAATTCTTAGCGAAATGCTTCATCTCACCTATCGGACAACGTGGAGTGAAGCGCAACAGATGTTACTTGATAATGATAGGTCAGTTAAACTTTGATTCATAATTTTCTGTTTATTATTTACTATTGAGTTTTGTGCAGGTTTGATCAGTGTACAATTTTTGTGTGATGCTCATCACTACTGTTTCATGCTGTAAAAAGAAATGCCTAACATACTTTTTAATGGTTTGTTGTATCTATCAGGGTATTAGTACGGTTTGCAATGGAGATTTCCTACCGGAGTCAATTCGAACCATAACTGCCTATAGTAGTCTTTGTATGGATACCTGACGCCATTAATTTGGGAAAAAGAGGTTATAAATCTCAGTTGAATCCGATTTCTGTTAAGTATAATCAACGGGGTTATAAATATCTTGCCTTGATAGACAGACACAATCAATGTAGAACCTCGAACACAGGTGCATCGGCTCAAGTTTAGTATACAAAGAGCAGGTGGATCGAAAAAGGGTATCAGAGTAAACAAAGTTGGGGGGGGGGGAATAATTAATTTGAAGATAACAGTTAGTGCAAATGCTCAAGCTTTAGAGGGTGTCAAGAAGTGAATACATCTGCACCATTGTGGCCGATTTTCAGTCATGTCACCGAGAGTTCGCGACCACTCATTTCAATCACCTCGAGGACCTCAATCAAGCAGTCTATGTTTCCCAACACGACTCAGGCCAACAGACACGAACTTCCTCGACAAGTGCCTTTTCTTAGTCTGACCACCCTGAACCCTCTTCCAACCTAATTCAACTTCCCCTAGCATGGCAAGTAACTATGGCATATGCTTTGCACCATCCAAATGCAAAGTACTTTTTCAAGAGTGGCAAGAGCCCCTGCCTACACTCACCCTTGGTGGTGACCCGTTAGAATTAGTCGGAAAGTTCGTGTATCTTGGCAGTTGTGTGAGTGCTGGTGGAGGTGTGAATGCGAAATTTCCAACCACATATCAAAAGCCGGAGTGGCATACGTCAACCTGGGCCACGACGTTAGTATGACCGTTAAAGGTCTGGCTTACAACGCTTCGGTACAAGCAGTTCTGCTCTTCGCCTGTGAAACCTAGCCTCTCGGAGCTGAGGATGTACGTTGGCTCTGTGTTCGATCTTCGTTTTCCCCGTAGGATTAATCGTATCCGGTGGCAACACCATGTAAGACAGTGCGTGTTTGGGTATGATGGAGATCGTCATTGAGTAAGTGAAGTTATCTGGAAACACCAACTTCGGTGACTTGGACATGTGTTATGCATTTCGTCCCAACGGCTTCCATACCATTCTATGTTTGCTAGCCCTCGGACTGGATGGAAGAAGTATAGAAGTGGTCACTGCATGACGTGGCGTCTTGAAATAAAGAATTCTTGTATCGGATCAGAATCTGTTGGTGCATCATAACTCACTGGGTGGGGTCTGAGGGATGACGCAATTCAGTGGTTTGAGACGTTTTCAGATGTGGCTCCGAATCGAAGCCAGTGTCGGTCATGCTGTAGCTTCCTCCTATCTTTTTCTCCTTAAAAGTAATGAATGCTTTGTTTTTGAATGTACCTTATTGGACTGCCTTTCTAATCACGTTATTCTTATTGTTTTTCTTCCTTACTTATTCACTTCCGATCGTTTATGTCTTCAAAATGTTATTATACTATTTTATGTGGCGGATTTCTTGGTGCCATTGCTGTACCATGTTTGTATTCCAAAAATAATAGTAAAAACTTAAAAAATGACCACCTCAGGAGACGAAGGTTCTCAACCTCGTCAGTCGACTTGCCCTTCATGTCTAGTACCTATCACCCGACTTCAACATTGCTCCCACGATGATTTCACCAAACGTGAGCAATGCTACGAAGTCACCTATGATAAAAACCCAGTAATTGCTTCATGTCTTCTTAGCTTAACGGTCATGTCTCACAGCCGCATAACAGGACAGAACGAACTGCAGTGCAGAATATGTTGCCTTATGTTTGGGGAATTCAGCAATAGGTTAGTGAGCCAAAAGCAATTAGTATAGCACCTAGTATAAAGAGGATGCATACTTAATAGCACAGGATTGAGCATGGAAACGATTCTGTGGCAAATCATAGTGGTAGTGTATGTGAGTACTACAATTGTTTCTCATCGATATGTCCAAACCATGTTGTCAATTTGTCTATTTTCCTTCGATTAAGTTCTACTCACAACAGCGTTACTCCCTTGACTATTCAATCAATTCATATTACAACAAGCTAAACCGTCCAAAATAAGCATGGCACGGTTGGGTGAAGTCCAGCCGATAAGTTTCATTATGGTTTCCTTTTGAAGCCCAACTTTTGAGACTACTGTAAGTGGCATCAAGTATACATTAAAGTAGACAGTTAGTATCTTATAGTTCTTAAGCTATCAACCTTGATGTCATTTATGGTATCTATATTTTGGTCAGAAAATGTTTAGTTTCCTTAGTCCTCTCAGGTACCTTAGTGGAATTCTGGTGATTTTAATCTTTTGCCATGACTACTAGAGACTGCTGATTATTCTGCTAATGACCTCTTGGTCTTAAACAGTCGGAATGATCATGTAGTGTTTATGTCATTTCAATCTGGTTTGTGAGCACTGTCGTTTGGTGTATGCAGTCTACAACTTATCATGCCAGTCAGTGATATAATACTGTATTAACCTTTATGTTCCACATTTTGTTCCAGCTATCACAAAAAGGCATTAGTAATAAAATCGGCATGGTCTATGGTATTACTTACTACCAACAACATTATCATGGTTCCACGGCGACACCACAGGTGACCATTGAAGGTGGAATACATAAGAAGGCTTCAGGTGTTTGACCACCGTTACCTTCATAATATAGGCCATATTCTGTGGTGTCACCATGTGAGTAGTGCAGAAGTTAGGTGTAGAGTTTTAGAGAGTAGAGGTAAATCAGTTGACGAGGTTGTGAACCTTCATCAACTGAGATGGTTGGGACACGTGTTACGTATGCCTAGTCTCCGATTGCCTCGTGACACAATGTTGGCCGAAGAAGATGCAGGCTGGATAAAGAGTCGAGGTGGTCAGCCTAAACCATGGTACCAATGTATGTAGTTTTTGACTGTTGGTTTGAGCGTTGTGGGGCGATGCAGAGTAGCCGGTTGAGGTCAGCGAGATAAGAGGAATTAGGGGTTGGAGAGTCTAGATGAGGTATGATGGCTGAGAACCGATGTCAGTGGCGCAGATATATATATATATATATATATATATATATATATATAATCCTCATCTTAACGACGCTATATCGAATCTCACCATTTTTTCATTCTCCCTTTCTCTCTTTTCGTATTATGTTTCTTTTGAGTGAATTTTGTTATCTTCATCTTGCACTTCACTGCCTTTTTACTTGTTGTGGTGATATGATGAGGTGTGGCAACTCAGACCGTTACGCAGTAATGCCTGGTCCTACGGTGATTTTGATGATGATGACTCCGTGTTGTATTCTCATTTTTTTATTGACTTGTTGTCATCAGCGTAATTTGCTCAATAACTAACCAACTTCTGTTTATCTTGACTAAAATTTTGTATGCTGTTACTTTATCAGAAGCATTGAGAAATAATTTATGCTTAGTTAGTACGTCGTTATTTTATCTGAAGTAATCACGTTAAGGAAACAAGGAATTGAATAAAACTAGGACGTTTGGGTTATCAACAGAGAAATCTGATGACAGTTTAGAAGATAATCAAGTAAACAGTAGGTAGTAAGTAAGATACAACTTGAGTGCTGACAAAGGTATGATGGTAGTGATTACATTTCCTGGTTGTTCACAGTGGAAGATTATTCCTTGAGGTGTCTGACTGAGAAAGTAAAGTAGTAAGGGTGGTATTATCAACCTAGTTGCGTGGTCACAGTCCAAGGAATATATGCCAAGGGGTACTCAGATTGCTTTTCAAGGTTTTCTACCTAAATTGGATTGCAATTTCATCAGTACTTAAGATACACCATTTACCATGGCCACAGAAAGTTTTTGAAAACAGGAAGGAGTTTTCTTTTTTCAGTTTCTTTCGATTCTTGTCCCTTCTTATAAAGTGGAGCCGTGGCTCAGTGGTTTAGGTAGGTAGCTATCAACCATTTGGCTGCGGGTTCGTGCCGCACTCCACCTACCGAGGTTTGGGCAGCCAGTTAGTATCACTAGCCCTCACACAATAGATGTGGCTCATGACCTACTGTATAGATGGACACAAGGTGGCTGGGTACCTAATCCAAAATCAACTTATAAAGGGCAGTTGGTATCAGCTCAGAATACTGGTTGTCCTTAGGAGAGGTCTTACTGCTGTCACACCGTAGTACGACTTCTCTCTTAGACCTCTACTATATTGTAAGTTAGTTACACGATGATGGTAGCTACTTTTAGTCTTATCATAATGCAACAGACCTTTCTGGCATGGTAGGATCTCTGGGAACAATTATTCGAAGTAGCATAGCCCGTTGGGTCATTTCGACTGGACGCCAAATCATCACGTCGAAGGCAGTAGCCGACAATCGGCGTGTGTTGTTGAAGTGTGGAATTTGTTACTTACCTCATATTGACGTATTACACATGATCTCAGATTGAGACAGACAAGTCGATTGATAAGGTCGTGTACCTTCATTGACTGTGATGTTTTGAATATGTGTTGTGCATGTCAAGCCACCTCCTGTCTCAATGTGCCATGCTGGTGAAAGTTGTATTTGGTTAGAAGAGGGTTTATGGCGTCCAGACCAAGACTTGATACCAGTCGATGAAGTCTCTTACTGTTGGTACGAGGCGTGTATGGAGATGTAGGCTGTCTGACTGGGGTCCCGGAGACGAAGGAGTAAATGGTTGAAGACTCTCGATGACGTGGCTGGAAATCGGTCACAATGGCGGAAATGAATTCACTCTTTGACGTTTTCTAAAGCTTGATTGTTCACACTGGCCGTTATCTTGCGATTTTTTATTCTCTCATACAACGCTGTCTACTTTTTTCTATCCACCTGTTGTGTATGTGTGTGTTCCATTGTGAAGTGTGGCAACTTAAGTCGATGCACGTGTGTGTGAGGTTCTACGTTTATTTTGTGTGTGCGTGTGTGTTTGTATGTATGTCATATTGTTTCATCATGATCAACCTTTTTATGTTTTGTAAAAATTTTTTAATTGTTTATAGGTTCACTGGAGATGTCGATTTGCAGAATTTAGACAAAGAAGATGCACTTGTTTGTTTTGAAGAGCATATTTGTATGCTTGAGCAAGAGCATGATGAAGATAAAGAACGTGAGCGTCGTAAACAAAAAAGGGATCAACGCAAAAATCGAGAAGCCTTCATAGTTCTACTTGATGAATTACACGAACAAAAACTGCTCACTTCCATGTCTATGTGGAAAGATCTATACCATATAATAAACAGGTAGGCGATTGTCTTCTGATTTTAACATTTCTAGTGTTCTCAACATTGATTCATAGGAAAAAAGTACTTAAAAAGTGATACAGTAATGTGTTGTGTCGGTTTTGGTTTCTGAGCAGTATCATAGCCCGCATACAAGTTATAAACGAAGTTATAAACAAAAAAAAGTACACAAAGCACTCACCATATCTTCCTATGGTAAACTTACCACTCATATATCCAATAGAAAGCCTTGCTATTAATGTGTGCTGTATCTCAGATCTGCATACAAGATCCCAGTTAAGTACCTCGAGCAACTCCCCTCTCTGTTAAATCGAAAAGTGTATTCACAGTGCTCTTCTCCCGGGGACCATTTGACATTAATAGTTAACCTTGTAGATGTTGATGTCGCACTATGTGGTAGAGCTGAAGCTGCATTCGTCTACTGTATCCCCCACCAACAGTCGTATGTGTTACCAGGCTAAAGGGTCGATTAGAGTAAGAAGTGACTGACAAGAGAAACAATATCTCTTCGTCATCTTTGCCTATACCCCGACTGACTACATAATTTGTGATAAACATCGGGGTATCAGTGTGCTACCGGTGACGTCTAAAGTGCTGGTTGTTATCATATTTTTTAGGCTGCCCAAAACGTGTGAAAAACTGGTTCACAGAAAACAGGTTGGGTTTCGTTCTGGTCGTGCGTGCATTGACCACGTTTTCGCCTTCCTCCAGATTCCCAAACACTTACACGTATCACGGTTCAACAACTAGTATGTTTCTCAATGTTAGAGCTAATTTCGGTTCGCTGGATGGGCTTTACTCTAGAAATGTTTATTAGAGAGGGATGTTCCTGAGTTTGTTGACACCTTTAAAGCCTAATTTATCAGCACCTCAAGTAGAGTAAAAGTTTACAGCCATCTGTCTTCATTGTTACTAGCCAATAGTGGGGTTAGACACGGTTTTCCATTTCCATCATTTCTTTTTAGCTTTACCATGAATGCCATTCTAGAAACAGTCGTGAAAGAGGCACTTGGTGCTGGTCAGGCTATTCAAATCGCAGTCAACCAGTTAGTTATCTGTGAGTATTGTATTGTATACTTCACACCGTCCAAGTGCCAAGTGTTTCTGCAAGACTAATATGAGCCTGTATCCGCATTCATCCTAGGTTGTGAATCATTGAAAGTTATCGGAAAGTCCATGTACCTAGGTGGTTGTGTGAATGCTAGTGGAGGTATGGATAATGTGGTTTCCAAGTGTATGCTAAAATCCAGATCGGTATACATCGATCCGGGTCACCTTTAGAACCGTTATGATCGTTAACCTTGCTGTAAGAGGTCGGGTATACAACGTGTTATTGTAGGCAGTTCTAGTGTACACCTGTGAAATATAACCTCTCCGCTGACTCTGCATCTTCGTTCAAATTCTTCTTCGTAGGATTGCTCGCATCCGATGGGAACACCATGTGAAAAGTTCTGAGGCGAGGCAGAGTGTGTTTAAGTGTAATTGATATTGTTGTTCATTGATTGTGGTCATCTCGTCACTGGCTTCGGTGGTGTGGACCTGTGTTACTCATACCGTTCCAACAGCTCCCATATTAATCACTGTTCGCTTACCTTTTGACTCTTTCGAAAACGGGTAGGGTGGTCAGTGTATGATGTAGCGTCATGGAACAAAGGATAGTTGTATTAGGTTGGCATATATAGGTGCCTCACGATCCCTTATATGGTGTTCAAGGGACCATGCAACTCAGTGGCTTGAGACTGTAGCAGAAGTGGCTTAGAATCAGTGGCGAGCATGCTGCAGTTTCATTGTTCCTCTTATCACTGAATAAGTATAACGAAAATAGTTAGTACTTCTTTTGATGGATCGTTGAGACCACTGCTGGACACTGGGAGACTTAACATCACAGCACACCTTGGTTGGTGTTAATTGGCGGGAGGAAATCGACTGGAAGGAGTTCTATCCTCAAACATTTAGTTGACGTCGAGGATTCAACTGATGTAAACATTGATTTTCAGGTTGTTTATCAAATTCGCTCAAGTATTCCACGTTTCTTTGTTCTCAACTGCTAAAAACAGCATGCCTTGTAGCCGTTTATGGACGAAATCCTGGCCTTTGTATACAAAACAAGTGTATACCATTTTTGTCTTTTTCTGGAGCCGTGGCTCACTGGTCTAGGCACTTCAACCATTTAGGCATGAGTTTGAACATCTCGTTCCAACTGCTGAAGTTTTGAGTAGGTGGGTAGTAACAGAACCCCTTACACAATAACTATGGCTCATTGTCCTGCTGACTGGTTTTTCATCTTGCCAGTGAGATTATATGAACATTAATTCCTAGCATCTCTAGAGTTGAAGTCAACTGGTCAACTCCATTACTCAGACTGATAGTCAGTGACGTTAGTGTATTGATACTGCCTTAGTTTGTCCAGTTCCCAGCTCCTATGGTAATCCAGACCATATTATGCGTCGACATATGTAGTTCCTCCGTGTGCATAACATATATCCTGGTCATTTGTGTCGATATGATATCACACCATCCTGAAGTATAAATAACTTTTGTCAGCGGCCATAAGATGTGAAAGTAATTGGATACCAAAGTTTGTGACATAGTATTTTCTGCTTACAACAATCGTTTACCTCGATTATTTTATTCATAAGATGATGCCGGACACTAGTCCATACATTTTCAAATCCTTGCCGAGATCTCGTTAGTTAACTAGTCCTCAAAGAATAATAACTTCCTGGCTTATTTAAAGCTAATTCATAATACCTAGTCAGTGTATTAATAAGATTATTTATGTATTAAACATATATGACTAGGACATTTTCTGTTTTTTTATTTTTCAGAGATGATCGATTCCATAAAATGCTTGCTCAACGCGGTTCTACTCCACTCGATTTATTTAAATTCTATGTAGAAGCATTGAAAGCTCGCTTTCCAGCTGAGAAAAAGATAATCAAAGAGATCTTGAAGTACAGCGGTGCAACAGTTGACGTATCTGTTTCGTATGAAGACTTCTGTTCAGTATGTCTATCATTCTTTTATTAAAATGTTAACCTTTACGCTTTTGCTCAACTTACGACCTGATATCATTATTTAACAGTCCAAGTTGCCACACGTCATATCAACATATCAAGATAGAAAGCACCAAGATGAAGCGCAAGTGAAACCCATTCTGAGCCTTATCACCTAGAGTTTTCAACTGTCGATCATAGTTGTTGCATGAACCCCCAGTGTAGAAGTCTGCATTCCCTTAAAGGGATGAAACCAACAGTCTAAGACTTCGTAGGCTGGTGCTACATTTTAATCTCACCATCTTTAACCTTTTTCCACCCTGAACATAATCCAGCTAAGATTTTGCAATGTTGCAGACGGTAACTAGGAGGGGGGAGGGAGGAGGCGGTGTAACAAATGTCCTAGCCGTCTGAATCAATTAGTGTCCATAACTTCATCAAGTGACCTACCTCTTTTATCTATAACTGTAGACTTCGCCTCGTTACTGATATACGCGTTACACAACATGACCGTAATATGAATTTTAGCATCTGCCAGTTTATTCAGCCTAAAACCAGTACATGACAAACGTTTTTGTCTGACGGAACAATGGATGCATCAGTTTATATCAGTATATCAGTTTATAAATCTTTAAAATTGGTACAGGGTTATACCAATTTGAATCATCACATTTCTTGACTCCATGCATAGGGCAACCCAGGAAAAAGGCGAATGATGAATACTAATGCTACGCTTGGAAGTTGTCCTTTCTTGAGTTGTATCTCACTGGTCAAATATAAGACTGCTCTCAAACTAGTTCAATCATAGGGAATAAGATGGTGTAATATATCGGCCATTTCATTTATTTGGGGAGTTGCATTAACCCGAATGGACTGGTTGCTGATGAAAGTCTCAGGTGGGACACAAAAGGCCCGTTTCGGATTCGATAACTTGCGTCATCTGTCGTACCGGCTGGTTGGATATCCGACTATCTATGAAAGAACGAATACGCTGCCCTACAGTTTGTTCTGTCCTGTTATACAGCTGCGATACATGACTGTTGTAAGAAAAATATACGAATAAACTACAAGATTTTGACCACCATTATTATTATTTGTCATCTGGGTTCCTAGTGGAATAAAGGGCTTCATTGCACTCTCTTCTCTGCAGTCTTCGTAACCTGGCTCCACCACTGCCCACAAGCTTTCATCTCTTCCTCACACGATCTCCTCCATGTCACCCTCACCTCGCACGCCCCAGTCGTCGTTCCCCCTTTGAATTCCACTCGACGGCTTGACCTAGCCTGACCTGGCCTCGCCTGGCGCGTTATGTCCCCAAACCACCTTCTCAGTGTATCCCCAATCCAGTCCAGTCCAATCCAATCCACTCCAATCCATCTCCATCTTCTTCTTTTGCATATTTGTTGGACGATAGCTTCTTGGTTGGTTAGTTGGTTGCCAGGCCCAGGCCACAGTGAGTTCCTTGTTGCCTATTCTTATTATTCTGGCCATCTGATCTGATCTGATCTGATCTGATCTTGAGTATCGAGTGAGTGGGTAGGTGTGCGTAGGCAGCTGTTGATGATGAATGTCTGTAGTTTGTTGCAAATACTTTTCGTAATGCACCACCAAGTCTCTCAACCATCACACAGAATTACTGACTGACTCACTTGACTGAGATTAGTGTTGAAAATGCGGATGTTGTTCAGGCGGCTTTATGCTGAGTGCAGTAGATCTCCACACAGATGTTAGGTAAATGAAGGCCTATATTGATGTCTTTTCCAATCCTGGCGTTGATATCGTGATCTGTGCGGCCTGTAGGTGTTTGTAATTGAAACAATGCTGTTTAGGCAGGTAGATGAAAGAGCCAACTTCATATATGTTTCTCCCGTTGATGGTGATTGGTGCCTCTTGTTGTTGTTGTTGGTTGGGAATCTTTGTCACCTTTGTCTTTTTTACATTCTCCTGAAGTTCAGTCTTCGCCGCCTGGCCTCCTGTGTCAACTTGTTGATTTTTGCCTGTAGATATCCAAGTTTGTGCGACGTTAAACATAAATCATCTGGGAAATCCAAATCTTCTAGTGTCGTTTCATCGGTCCAGTCAGAGTATGCTCATCTTCTCGCTCCTCACAGTTTATTGCATAATCCAGTTTACCACAATCAGGAGTCTTGTTCAGCATTGATAGCAGTTATCTGTAGAATTACTTCTTCACTTGATCCTCATTATTTGGAGGTGCGTAGTATTGTATGATTGTAACTTTCCTTCCTTTCGGGTTGAATCTTGCTGTCATGATCCTGGAGGAGATTGGTTCTCACTGCATGAGAGAGCCTTTGATGCTCCTGGGAACATGATAGCCACTCCAAAATTAATTGTGCTCGTGGTTGTTTGGGCGACAATATCAGAGTAGATTATTGACTCTGCAGTTGACAGTGAAGAGTCCACTTCCATTCCATCTGCTTTCGCAGACTCCTAGCACTTCTATGCTATGCAATCTAGACGGCCTTACTAGGTTTATATATGGTGCGGAGATTCCATTTTTTCATTCTTATTATTACTTTCATCGAGAGAAGACAAATCGGTAAATTGGTTTCTCGACGGCTTTCACTAACTGGCGCCGTTTCGTCTCTCCGATTCCAGCGAAGAATAAGTTTATTTTCTATATTTTCTTTGTGATTTGAAGTATCTTTAGCGATTGATTTGTTTTTCGGGGTAAGGTTGCTAGCCATATGCGCAACCTTCCCTCTTTATCTGGGCTTAGGACCGGCCAGTAACTAGTGCACTAGTTAGCCAGGCGAGGCTATTTTGACCATTGGTTTCTTTTTATCTTTGATCGCGTTTGGTGGAATCACTGTGTAAGCAGTGTTGAGGTCAGGCGGAGGGTATTAGGCAAGATAACCAAGTCGATTGATGAGTTTGTGAGCCTTAGTTGACTGAGATGACTTGGACATGTGTTGTGCATGCCGAGCCACCACTTACTTTGATGTGCTATGCTAAGGGAAGTTGGAATATAATAGTTGTTCTTTCGTAGAAACGTACCTCTTGAGAAGTCCTCCCATCTTGGAAGAACGTGAAGTGTGTTACGCTCGTATAAATTTGAAATGATGGAGAATATTTGTAGCTTCATACTGAAGTTAATACTGATGATGTCGTCTAGAAAGACGATGAAAACTCCACTATTAAACATCCCAGCTCAGAGAACGTAATACAATCAAGAGGTTGGAATAAGTTGGAAGAGAGTTCATGCTGTCCAAACCAAGACGTGAAGACCGGTCGATGAAGTCTCTTACTGTTGGTACGAGGCGTGTATGGAGATGTAGGTAGGCTAGCTGATTGGGGTCCGGAGACGATAGGAATAAATGGTTGAGGACTCTCGATGACGTGGCTGGAAATCGGTCACAATGGTCGAAATGAATTCACTCTTTGACGTCTTCTAAAGCTTAAATATTCGCACAGCCCGTTACCTTCAGAATGTTTATTATCTCATACAATTTTGTCGACTTTGATATGACTCTTATTATATCCACCTGTTGTGTGTGTTTTGTTGTGAAGTGTGGCAACTTGAGCTGATGCGCACCTGTATGTGTGGTTCTACGCTGATCTTGTCTGCCACTTGTGTCTGTCTTAATAATTTGCAAAGAATAGTGTAATTAAACATAGTAAAGGCCTACGGGTTGAAACAACAAGAAACTTGTAGGAGTTATATACATAATAAATGTAATGATTTGGTTCTCAAATATTGTTATTTTCCAGATAATAAATGCTGATGAACGCAGTAAAGGAATTGATGATGGCAATATGCGTATGACATATGATAGTCTTTTGGAGAAGGCTCAAGGCCGTGAACGTGAACGTCAAAGAGATGATGCTAGACGTATACGCAAGCTTGAACAAAGTTTCTGTGAAATGCTATCTGGTTCCAGTTTCATTCAATCAAATACTAGTTGGGAAGAAGTTCGAGAAAAGTTGAGTGATCATCCGGCTTTCAAAGTAAGTTTTGAAAGCATTATACCTATTATATAACCAAATTTCGAATTAACCGCTTTTTTGGTTTAGTTACTGGTTTCACTTTAAAACTTAGGTTGAAGAAATTTAGTCGATGGTAAAACTTAGTTGGATACTAAGTGAATGAATTCACAAGATGTAGTAACTCTCAGTTAGATTTTCGATGGTGTTAACGCCAGGATTGGAAAAGATATCAAGATAGGCCTTCATTTACCTAACATCTGTGTGGAGATCTACTGCACTCAGCATAAAACCTGAACAACATCCGCATTTTCAACACTAATCTCAGTCAAGTGAGTCAGTCAGTAATTCTGTGTGATGGTTGAGAGACTTGGTGGTGCATTACGAAAAGCATTTGCAACAAACTACAGACATTCATCATCAACAGCTGCCTACGCACACCTACCCACTCACTCGATACTCAAGATCAGATCAGATCAGATCAGATCAGATGGCCAGAATAATAAGAATAGGCAACAAGGAACTCACTGTGGCCTGGGCCTGGCAACCAACTAACCAACCAAGAAGCCATCGGCCAACAAATATGCAAAAGAAGAAGGTGGAGATGGATTGGAGTGGATTGGGGATACACTGAGGTGGTTTGGGGACATAACGCGCCAGGCGAGGCCAGGTCAGGCTAGGTCAAGCCGTCGAGTGGAATTCAAAGGGGGAACGACGACTAGGGCGTGCGAGGTGAGGGTGACATGGAGGAGATCGTGTGAGGAAGAGATGAAAGCTTGTGGACAGTGGTGGAGCCAGGTTAGGAAGAGTGCAGAGAAGAGAGTGCAATGAAGCCCTTTATTCCACTAGGAACCCAGAGGACAAATAATAATAATAAACTTGATCCATGATCAACTTATTCATGGTAGATGCATATAGATGGAGATGACTGAACCAATTCACTAACCAACTACTCCAATGATGACATTAGCCAATAACATATGTATGAGATAGCTGTAGTTTGACAGACTGGTATTATTGATACGCTATACCGATTGTAGATGGATTTAAAACTTAAGGTTCTGGGAGAAGTCGAAGCATACACCTTCTGATTACCGACCTGTTACTCTTCCAACTGAGCAATATGAGTGCGTGATCCTTAACCATACTTTCATCAAGTCATACTGACTGCTCACTCAGGTCTTCTGTATCAGCAGGTTGATTGATAATCCAGAGTTCACTGTTTCAAATCTTACCATGACTGTGAGTCTTTATTTCACCTTCAAATTACTACTCCGTACAATTAGTTGTTTGTTTAGGTGTGACATATTAGATTGTGTTAACTTGTCTAAATAACCAAATCTATCAAAAAAATGGTATCCACTTTCTTCTAGTTATATTATGCAGTTTCAATCAAAGAATAGTTTGTTAGTCAGTAATCAGTATGTTTCGTCTATTGTATGAATAAACTCCATGATATGGATTTTCGTAGTGGAAACTGATGATCAGTCTACTTGATATGAATATCTAAATGCTTCTCAAGAGACTGTCTCACTTTTTAAATGTGTAACAACTTACGAACATTGATGACTAAGTAGTAAAACTTATCAGATTTTTCATTTATTAAAGAATAGACATCTGTAAAATGCGTATTAAATATCTGTAGTGTACAGTTTTCTGTATTTGTCAGTAGTAAGTAGTATCAAGTATTGAATGTAAGACAATTTTTCAGTGTCCAATTTCTGAGGTGATTGAAAAAGAGTCCCTAGAGTTGGTTAGTTAGTTAGTTAGTTAGTTAGTTAGTTAGTTAGTTAGTTAGTTAGTTAGTTAGTTAGTTAGTTAGTTAGTTAGTCAGTTAGTCAGTTAGTTAGTTAGTTAGTTAGTTAGTTAGTTAGTTAGTTAGTTAGTTAGTTAGTTAGTTAGTTAGTTAGTTAGTTAGTTAGTTAGTTAGTTAGTTAGTTAGTTAGTTAGTTAGTTAGTTAGTTAGTTAGTTAGTTAGTTAGTTAGTTAGTTAGTTAGTTAGTTAGTCAGTTAGTTAATTAGTTAGTTAGTTAGTTAGTTAGTTAGTTAGTTAGTTAGTTAGTTAGTTAGTTAGTTAGCTAGTTAGTTAGTTAGTTAGTTAGTTAGTTAGTTAGTTAGTTAGTTAGTTAGTTAGTTAGTTAGTTAGTTAGTTAGTTAGTTAGTTAGTTAGTTAGTTAGTTAGTTAGTTAGTTAGTTAGTTAGTTAGTTAGTTAGTTAGTTAGTTAGTTAGTTAGTTAGTTAGTTAGTTAGTTAGTTAGTTAGTTAGTTAGTTAGTTAGTTAGTTAGTTAGTTAGTTAGTTAGTTAGTTAGTTAGTTAGTTAGTTAGTTAGTTAGTTAGTTAGTTAGTTAGTTAGTTAGTTAGTTAGTTAGTTAGTTAGTTAGTTAGTTAGTTAGTTAGTTAGTTAGTTAGTTAGTTAGTTAGTTAGTTAGTTAGTTAGTTAGTTAGTTAGTTAGTTAGTTAGTTAGTTAGTTAGTTAGTTAGTTAGTTAGTTAGTTAGTTAGTTAGTTAGTTAGTTAGTTAGTTAGTTAGTTAGTTAGTTAGTTAGTTAGTTAGTTAGTTAGTTAGTTAGTTAGTTAGTTAGTTAGTTAGTTAGTTAGTTAGTTAGTTAGTTAGTTAGTTAGTTGGTCAGTTAGTCAGTTAGTCAGTTAGTTAGTCAGTTAGTTAGTTAGTTAGTTAGTTAGTTAGTTAGTTAGTTAGTTAGTTAGTTAGTTAGTTAGTTAGTTAGTTAGTTAGTTAGTTAGTTAGTTAGTTAGTTAGTTAGTTAGTTAGTTAGTTAGTTAGTTAGTTAGTTAGTTAGTTAGTTAGTTAGTTAGTTAGTTAGTTAGTTAGTTAGTTAGTTAGTTAGTTAGTTAGTTAGTTAGTTAGTTAGTTAGTTAGTTAGTTAGTTAGTTAGTTAGTTAGTTAGTTAGTTAGTTAGTTAGTTAGTTAGTTAGTTAGTTAGTTAGTTAGTTAGTTAGTTAGTTAGTTAGTTAGTTAGTTAGTTAGTTAGTTAGTTAGTTAGTTAGTTAGTTAGTTAGTTAGTTAGTTAGTTAGTTAGTTAGTTAGTTAGTTAGTTAGTTAGTTAGTTAGTTAGTTAGTTAGTTAGTTAGTTAGTTAGTTAGTTAGTTAGTTAGTTAGTTAGTTAGTTAGTTAGTTAGTTAGTTAGTTAGTTAGTTAGTTAGTTAGTTAGTTAGTTAGTTAGTTAGTTAGTTAGTTAGTTAGTTAGTTAGTTAGTTAGTTAGTTAGTTAGTTAGTTAGTTAGTTAGTTAGTTAGTTAGTTAGTTAGTTAGTTAGTTAGTTAGTTAGTTAGTTAGTTAGTTAGTTAGTTAGTTAGTTAGTTAGTTAGTTAGTTAGTTAGTTAGTTAGTTAGTTAGTTAGTTAGTTAGTTAGTTAGTTAGTTAGTTAGTTAGTTAGTTAGTTAGTTAGTTAGTTAGTTAGTTAGTTAGTTAGTTAGTTAGTTAGTTAGTTAGTTAGGTGATTTCAGTTTTATTTCATTTGATCTGGTTAGTTTAATTGGGACGCTGGGGGGCTCACTAGTGCTCACTGTTGACGATTCTCTCGCCAAGACGAAGCAACTGTCCAATTCTCTCAACTGATGTCACTACGTGTTGAATATCAACTTGAATTCAATAAATCTTTACATGCTTTCAAATCAAACAGTTTGAGTTATAAAATATGAAATCGTAAAACTTTGTTATCATTCTGCATATTTCCTCTTCGTGTTCACTACACATAAGAACGAAACTGATCAGTTTGGTTTAGTATAGTAGACAAGTGGTTGTTTTAACATTATCGCCTAGTAAATGACACTGAAAGCAATGAGTTTTACAGTCAATTCTCAGTGTAAATACTAACAATATCTGGTAGACAGATACCTCTAACTAATAAGAGCTAAAGAGGATGGAACCTTTGCTTTAAGTTTTATTACTAACCAATAGTAATCAAACTCAGTAGTTAGCACACTACGTTTGAAATGTTTGTACACCTTTCGAGGATTCGGATGTTGTATTATTGAAGCTTTTCTCTTTATTCGTAATAATCTTCGAATCACTTAAACGTAACTATTTATTGAAATTGAAAAAAAAAAACAGTTTTTTGAATCCCTTCAATAAAAGCTTATCTAAATTGTTGACTAGTGTTAACGGATTAGTAAGGGTGTTGAAACTGTTAGGGTTCTCTGTGTATTTGAGAAGTGTTTCCACCCTAAGGAATATAGAAAAATGGGTTGGTGGTTACAACTGCTTACCATTTGTGGCGCCGGCGAGATATCTGAATATCTATCAAAAGTCGAGTATACTACACTGCAGTCCGTTCTGTCATGTTATAAGGGTATGAGACATGGCTGTTGTAAGTAGAAGACATGAAGAGATCACAGGTTTTCGATCATAGGTTTCTTAGTATCGTTACTTGCGTTTGGTGGAATCACTGTGTTGAGGTCAGGCAAAGGGTACCACGTAAGATAGGCAAGTCGATTGGTGAGTTTGTGAACCTTCATAGATTGAGATGGCTTGGATGTGTGTGGCACATCCGGACTTACTGCCTTCTTCAACGTGCCATGCTAGAATAAGTTAGATTCAGTTGGAAGAAGATTCAGGTTGACCAGAACAAGACGTGTTACCAGTTGATGACATCTCTTACTGTTGGTCTGCGTCGTGTTGGGAGGTGAAGACTCCGTGGTTTAGGTCCCCAAGGCGATAGGAATCAGCTGTTGAGGACTCTTGGTGACATGGCTGGATATCAGTTGCAATGGCGCAGATATATTCACTCATTGACATCTAAAGTTTGAATATTCGCATTGACCTTTATCCCCACATTGTTAATTTTCTCATACAACATTGTCTACTGTGGTATGACTTTTTCTATCTATCTATTCTTTGTATACTATTGTGTAATGTGGCAACTTGGAGCTGAGATGCGTGTGTGCGAGGTTTACGCTGATTTCATTAGTCAATTAGATGCATAATGTGATAGGAGAGTGGCATGATTGTGTAAACATATGCGTCATAACAGCGTTACTCTTGTGTGATCAAATCATTCAGCAGATAAAGTGGTTAGTTCTAATGTCATAAATTGGTTAGTCACCGGGGTCTAGCCAATCGCATATTATCTGGTCTTAGTTATTGACTGATTTCCACATATCATTTTGTAATATCGTTACAAAGCTAAAAACACTCATTACCAGGGTGGATTTTGATCCATGTTAGGTAGTTGATGAAGGCAATCGATAAAAAGCTTTGTACCTTCGAGGTTGCAAATACGTCTTGCTAACGAATGCCAAGAAGCATGCAATTTAAGTCCCAGGGCTTTCTGCCGATTCTCCTCAACCATTTAGTTCTAATCTCATTTAACTGATATTCTTGTTGGATTTATATTTATGTTTCTCATTTCATAGGGTATTATAGACTTGAGTGCCATGAACCTGAAATGTTTAGATGTTCGTATATCTTGATCATCGTCCAACCTATTTTCTTTTATAAAAATGTGATACACCATGTCGCAACCAATGCTGAAAGTTTTGGCTATGCTATTTTGTCTAACACCAGTCAAGTAACTATCTCTGTCAGTGGAATTCAGGATGCGCATTTCGTCTTATTTGGGACTTGTCAGCTGGATGTACCTGCTAATAGAGACCGGTCAATTCAGTCCAATCAACGACGGTATTATATAAAAACCCTTATACTAATAATTATCTCTGTTCCTATTTTCTTCATCACTTTCACTCTATTGTATTCGTCTGAAACTTATACATATCTATGATTTAAAATATTTATTATCTTTACTTTAGGGTTTGTCTTTAGAATCTGAAAGGATCCGACTCTTTAAAGAGTATATTATGTCAATTGACACGTCTTTCAATGATGATGCTCATCGCTCTCGTAAGGAAAAGCATCGACATGAAAGGTGAGTATCCTTCATATATATTATCATCATAAATTCCCTTTTTATGTCATTTTAATTCTACTGGCATATACACAAACTAGAGGATAATATATATATATATATATATATATATATATATATATATATATATATATATATATATCAGCTGCCTATAGTCTTTTACTCCTTTCCAGTTGAAGCTCATTGGTTTCAAGAAGTCGATAGTGTTGCAGTCAGCATCACCACAGGAAAGTAGTAAAAGAAACTGGACCTAATTTTTACATCAGTCTAACATTTTAGTGTTATATACTACTAGGGGGTATTGTCTAGGTTAATTTCCACCAACATTAGGTTTAGTTGTTACCTTAATACAGATATGTCATATCCAAAATGAATGTTGATCAGCAGTTATTTCAGTTCTCTTGCACAAAATACCTTTCATCATCATTCCTCGATCAAGGAATAAAATATAATTATTATCATTATTTTATTATTTTCCCCCTTGGGTTCCTAGTGGAATAAAGGGCTTCATTGCACTCTCTTCTCTGCAGTCTTCCTAACCTGGCTCCACCACTGTCCACAAGCTTTCATCTCTTCCTCACACGATCTCCTCCATGTCACCCTCACCTCGCACGCCCTAGTCGTCGTTCCCCTTTGAATTCCACTCGACGGCTTGACCTAGCCTGACCTGGCCTGGTGCGTTATGTCCCCAAACCACCTCAGTGTATCCCCAATCCAGTCCAGTCCAATCCAATCCACTCCAATCCATCTCCATCTTCTTCTTTTGCATATTTGTTGGCCGATGGCTTCTTGGTTGGTTAGTTGGTTGCCAGGCCCAGGCCACAGTGAGTTCCTTGTTGCCTATTCTTATTATTCTGGCCATCTGATCTGATCTGATCTGATCTGATCTTGAGTATCGAGTGAGTGGGTAGGTGTGCGTAGGCAGCTGTTGATGATGAATGTCTGTAGTTTGTTGCAAATACTTTTCGTAATGCACCACCAAGTCTCTCAACCATCACACAGAATTACTGACTGACTCACTTGACTGAGATTAGTGTTGAAAATGCGGATGTTGTTCAGGCGGCTTTATGCTGAGTGCAGTAGATCTCCACACAGATGTTAGGTAAATGAAGGCCTATCTTGATGTCTTTTCCAATCCTGGCGTTGACATCGTGATCTGTGCGGCCTGTAGCTGTCTGTAGGTGTCTGTAGTTGAAACAATGCTGTTTAGGCAGGTAGATGAAAGAGCCAACTTCATATATGTTTCTCCCGTTGATGTTGATTGGTGCCCCTTGTTGTTGTTGTTGTTGGGTATGATACTTAAACGAAATGATATGACAATACTCCTGAAGTTAAGTTTCACAAATGAGTTAACTAAAAACTTTGAACATGAATTCCTTACTTGATGTCATACATCATAAGTAATGCATTAAAGATCTAAAAATAAGTGTAAATCAGACTGAGATGTCTTGGATATGTACCGCGCATGCCGACCCACCGCCAACCTCGACGTACGAATGTAGGAGAAGAGGGTTCGGGGTGACCAGATCAAGCTATGACATCAATCTATGAAGTCTCTTACTGTTTTTTTTTTAAGGTCATGTGGCGGAGATTTAGACTGCGTGGTTGCGGTCCTCGAAAGAAAAAGAATCAATGGTTAAGGACTCTCGATGACATGATTGAAAATTGATCACTTTTCGATGTCTTCTACAGTTTGAATATTTGCCCTAACCTCTATATTCAGATTTTGTCTATTCTCTCACACATCTTTGTCTACTTTGATATCACTCCTTTTCTATCCACCTGATGTTTGTATACTAATAGAAAGTGTGGCAACTTGAGCCTATGTACCTGTGTGTACTTTTCTGTGTTAATTTTGTCAGTCAGTCAGTCAGTTAGCATTTTGCTTATCGTCGGCATCTGTGACTATTCATTCTTCTTGTATCAGGATTTATTAGCTATTTACATTCCTATGAATGTTTGCCCTTGTTCCCTTATCCACTAATGTATTAAATATCGTAATGTGATGGGTTAGGATAACCATTTTTAGTACATGCTATATAATTTTCATATCAAAGTTTTTGCCAGGAGTCAGTTCTTGAACACAGCTGATTTATAAGGCAGGGAATCAGTAACAGGATGTTCAGTTATCGTAACTCATCATCATCATCATCATCATCATCATCAAGATCAACATAGAACCAGGAATTATTGCATAACAGTCCAAGTTGTCACATCTCATATCAACATATCAGGTAACAAGGCAGTAAAATGGAAGATGAAGGAAAGAAAAATCGGTCAAAGGAAGTAGAAGTGAAAAAATATTCAAAGAGAAGAAGGAAGAATGAGATTAAGTAAAGCGGCTAATGTGAGGATAATGTGTGTGTGTATACATCTGCGCCACTAAAATCGGTTCTGATCCATATCACCTAAATTCGTCAACTCCTGGTTTCTCTTGTCCCATGGACGTCAATCGGCTAGTCTACATTACCCTACATGGCTCAAACCAACAGTCAAAGGGATGTTAGTTGAAGATTAATTAAGTATTATCAACAGTTATTTAATGTTGAGGTTTATCAGATACTGTAAGAAATCACCTTGTGATCATTATGCAAGCAACCAACTTATATATAACGCATAGAGGCTTTACACCTTATTAGTGTATAATGGAACCTAATCTTGTTGATCACTCTTCCATCAATCTGACATTGAATGGTGTGCTTGCTAATCCATAAGAATACTATTAATCGACCATTATAAGTTTATAGTAAAGCTGCCGTCGAGAGTTTAGCAAACACAACGATTTTGTACACACCCAGAATTGATATTTCTATTCGTAAAAATTGCTTATTAATTCTACACTTTAAAGGGATTTTTTACACAATAATATCAGTACATTGTTCAATATAAATAAATAATTATCTTTTACGTTTACGTTTCTTTATGTAGGTCTGCTTCTGCCAGTCAAGACATTGAAAAGGAAACAGAAGTACCTAAGGATCAGAAAAAGAAAAAAACTATTTCTCCTTCTCCTATTCCTTCAGAAAACAGTCATACTCGTAAGTCAGATGATGAAAGAGGCGGATCACAAAAACGTAAACATCGTAAATCAAAGAAGTCAAAACATCGTAAATCAAAACATCATAAACATCATAAAGGTAATGATAAACGTCAAGATGATGAATTAGAAGAAGGAGAAGCTGCAGATGATGATGATGAAGATGATGAACCTACCAATTTGGAAGCTAATCATCGTACAGGTTCTCGCAGTGGTAGTAAACGACATCGTCGACATCGACATGGACGACATTCTCGAAATTCTGATCCTGAAGATGGGGAAGAGGTAGATAGTACTAGTGATGGGGAATTTTATGATCGTGATTCGAAACGCAAGAAACGCTAGTATTTTAAGAAATGAATGTTATGAATTTAGTTTTTCTGCGTGTGTACATAGTAAAATATCTTTTCTTTACGTTAAGTGTTTTTAATTCTACTAAGGTCTCATAATTAACTTAATTCTCCTTTTGCTATTGTTAACGTTATATTATTACAGGATATTTTATATTCTTCATTTGTCGATGATTTAGGATTGCAGGGTTTGTATTTGCAGTGTAAAAGCGTCAACCGTCCTTATCTTTTAATGCTCTCTACCATCATCCCGTTAGTGAGGCTGTAGTAAACAAGAATGAATCTACAATTCATATTCGCATGGGAGACGACTGGAACACCGGGTGGTATACTTCGAGGAACAATTCAGTTGGTCTCCAACTACTATTCTTTTGTCCCCTATCCAATCAGGTCATGAATGGAAAACTATGACAGCCCCTCCCCCCAACTCCTTGTAGAAGTTGAGAAGGTTGTTAGTAATTTGAAACGATGAAGATGAGCAAGACCAGATAAAATGGTATCAAACGTATTTATGAATGATTCAAGGATTTTAACTAGATATCTGAAGTGTTAGGAACGGGACGAAATCCCCAACCAGGAAGTTTACACCTCGCATGTGGGTCTCTGACCATTGGTCTAAGCCATGTAGGAAGGTGCAGACCCCCTGAATGGGGTCCTCAACATAATAGCTATCAATGGTAGGAGATTCTTGGTGACGGCTGAGAATCTATCTCAGTGGTGCAGATACAATCTCTCTGACGTCTTAGGTTTAAACATTTGTCTAACCTTCATTTTCCAAATCCTTTCACCTCACCAAACACTTTTGCTTGGCTTGATATTGCTTTCTCTCTAACCATTCGTTCTTTACATGTTGTTGTGAAATGTGGTAACTTAAACCGATGGACTTCTGTGATAGATGGTACTTCGGTTTTGTCTGTCAACCCTTTCTGAATGGTGTCAGTCACTGATTATCATAGTTTTCAAAAAAACGGTGAAAAATCCTCCTGTTATATCGACAGTGGAATCATTTTGGCGGACATATTGTCTAAGATCGAATTGCCGTAGTAGTTATTGATACTGTGTGATGGTTGAAGATGAGATGAAAATCTAGGTTGTGGCAAGATTCCAGCCAGCGGCTTCCCGGTCACGTGTTTGGTGTTCATCAACTGAGCTACGGGAACTCCCTAACTGGACAGCCAGTGTGAATACAATGAATGGATAGTCATGCATCACGAATTCACATGGCAGTCGGGCAAAACCCTTGTTGATTGAAATGGAATTAAGATCGAATCCTGTTGTGACTGTGATTTTTATTTCACCTTCAATCTTTATACTGTATCAATAATACCAGTTCGCCGAACCATGGTTATCTCTGATAGGCTTGTTGATAAGTATTATTGTTTAAGTGAAATTCGAGAATAGCAAACTCAAGGGAAACAAACCGGTAGGTTTCACACCTAATTTTGGTTGTATCGACCAGGTATTCACCCTCTACCAAATATTGGAGCACAGATACACTTACCGGCTCCCGTTGTTATGTGTATTTCTCGACCTGAGGGCAGCATCCGACTTCATCGAAAAGGAGGTCCTGCGGTAGCATCTCTCACTTGAAGAGGTGCCGAGTAACTGCATCGCATTGTCAAAGGCTCTATTATATTTGAGCACCCATGGGCGTATTAGAGCCTACGGTGAATACAAATTTCAGGCCTAAGAATATTGTTTTTCATGGGTTTTTTGAAGTTGGAAGATCTTACATGCTCATCTTTTTCACGTTGGCTGTACTTACATTGACATTGAAATTATTTTATAGACTATAAACATCTAGTCCATTGTTGTTATCAATGTTTCAGAATAATTTTATGGACTCTCTAAGTAGTCAGAAGTGGAGCTGTGACTATGTAATTTAGGGATATGACTCTCAACCAGTGGGTCATAGGTTCGAACCCCACTCCACCTGCTGACGTTTGGGCAGCCAACTGTAGCAATAACCCAACAACTTAGAATTAGTTGCGTGCAGACTTGATTTGCAAGAGTAAGAACACACACTTGATTTCTATCCTAAAGAAGAATGGCTACTCACGAAAATGTATCAGAAGATGCCTATTCTGTCCATCACCAACGACAAAGTTATTGACAGAAATCAACAAGCCAATCATCCTACCGTATATAAAGAACCTATCAGAGATCATGACGAGATTACTAAGATCACTTGGAATTGGGGTTGCTTATAAATCGACAAACCTTTCAAACCATATTATGCAGACCAAAGTACACAACAGCCAAAGAAGACAAACTAAATTTCACGTACAAAACCAACTACAATGATTGTTATTAACACTGCATTGGACAAGGCGGTCGGTCTCTTCATTTTTATTTACATAAACACCAATTGGCTATTAAACGTCACGACGTTTCATTGCTCACTTCAATGCACAAGGATAATATAGTAATCTTGGAGTGAGGAAACACATTCAGTTCAGTCATTAATCAGTAGATGTATAGAAAGATATCCAACCTATCAATCAATAAGAAAAATGATAAACAACTAAAAGGTCGAAGGTTAGGTAGAAAAACAACCAACCAAGAGAATCTATACAGTCAGTGACGCAACAATGAGAAGGAAACAACCAATCACAAACTAGTTCATCAGGAAAGATATTCACACCTCACTTCATACTGAAGTTAGTGTTGATGTTGTCTAGAAAAAAAGAGGACAACTTCACGATTAAACCCACCAACTCAGAGAACACAATCAAAACAAAAATTCATTTTAGACCATGTCGCTTACCAAAGTTGTATGTATATATACCACAAATGTTTAGGGGTCTATTATTGGGTATCAGGGTATAGTTGTATCATTATAATGGTGTGCAACACTACAATAATGAATGGAAAGAAGTGACAGAGTAATCTGTAAAACAATTCAATTAATGCGAAAGTTAAGGGATCCTATAGGGTAAGCAAAATTACTTATAGATGTGAAATTCAATTGTTGAATGTCCAGTAGTCGTAATTCCAAGTGATAATCGTAAAGTGACTAATTGTTATACAGTCCAAAGAAACGAGGTAAGGGTTCAGACCATACAAAATAATGTTTTGAGAAATATGCACTTTATATGACCCCCATAGAAGCAAGCGAACTTGTAAACCTATATTGAAGTGGTCTACAACAGCAGTTTATCCTAAGCATATTCGGCAATCAGCTGTCAACTGAAAAAGTCGATCTGTAGCTTGGCTGTATGGTACATTTGGTGTTTTAGGACTTGTGATAGTAGCCGGTTACTTATATCAAAGTAAGTGAAACAGGACTTGACCCCTGAAATCAGTACTTTTGTTGATGATCTATATCTCTATTGCTTGCTCCGGCATCGAAACAAATGAGTATGTTTTCGAAGATACGTATTGACAGGAAATACTGAGTTCCATAACTATACTTTGCTTCATATTGGTGAGTGTATTGATTACTGCATTTCAAAGTAACTAGCAGATATAGCTTATCCCTGATGCATAGTAGTAGCAGGAGAACGAGTTAGCTCCAAATTTCAGTTCCATATTTGAGAAAGCAGTTCGTAATTGAATTTCAAAATCACTTGGTGTATCCGTGTAACGTGAAGCTTTTGGACCTGCTGTCACTTAGTTTTTAGTTGTAATTTCTCGAGGCCAATGCGAGTTTGACTTGTGATAGTAGGATTGTCTTTCACTGGTTTAGGCATTCGACTTTAATCTAAGGAGTGGTCAACGGTTCAAACTCCACGTGTCTACCGGTGTTTGGACACTCAGTTAGTGTCATCAGGCATCAGACAACGTCTATGGCTCATTACTTAGTGCATAAAGATGTAAGTGGATGTTATGAGTTCCCATCCCTAGTGTTTTAATTTAGTTTTTGTATGCATACACCAGATTTACTTGAAGTTAACTGATTTTAGATGTGATCTGTACTTGGAGATGCGTTTTAGTTGGTGTGTTAACGTGTCACTGAAATGAGTGAGAACACTGACTGGGGAAACCATCACAAGAATGTATAAGTGACAGTTTAGAGGATATTCAGGTGAAATTGATTAAATTTCCAGAATAGAGTGTCCACTAACCAGTTGTCTGTTAATGAGGACTTCAATCCAATCATCTATATCATGGATATACAGTCAGTCAGTGGTTTACTATGAAGTTTTCTGCGTTTATTTATGAATTTCTGGTTATCATCAATCAATAACTCACTTCGAGATGAGGTATTCCAAAGTTCTAATGAAAAGTCCTGACTAGTGGGGAAAACCAAGTCGGACGTGATGACAAACACCCAATCATGGCATTGGATAATGGTCACGTGCACTATGTAGCGAATTGAGAAAATTAGGGAAATGTAGACCGTTGTACTCTGACCCAAGTGACTCAATAGTGACCTACATGCTGCGAAATCTGAGGGTGCTAGGTTCGACCCCTGGCAGGGTCATAGGTGCGCGGTGTTGAGGAGTTCCCGCTAGGACGAAATAGCTACCCAGTGTTCTCATAGTTTCAGTGCTTCTCCAACTGATTTAAGTCTGTGATGTATACCAACTTGGAATCAATAAACGGAGGTTCGCGAACCTCCAAATTGAATGATTTCATGAAACAATGAGCATTATGTAAAACAGCATCAATCAGATATCATGCATTTAAGTGTCTCATACTTTTCCAAGTTGGTATTCATCATGGACTGACATCAGTTGGAGGAACATTAGAAACCTGGGAGTACTGGACAGATGTTTCATTCTAGTATGGGACTCCTCAACAGTGCGTATCCATGACTCCACACCTCCAGGTATCGAGTCCAGGACCTAATTGTTCCGTGGCCAGTACGTTACCATTGAGCCGCTGAGTCAGAATCCAATGTTCCGTATTTCCTACTTCCCCCAGTTCATGACAAACTGCGACCATCACCCGATGTCATCATTGAGTATTTGTCCTCACGACCACCGGTCACAACTTCTCATTAGAACTTTGTGAATCACCTCTAGAAGCTAGTCACTGATGAGCCCTAGATCAATTGAATTTGGGAGTTTGTGGGGATCTAGTGATTTTTATGGTTGGTATTCATCGTAGACTGACATTATTTGGAGAAACATTGGAAACCTGGAAGAACTGAACAGCTGTCTCGTCCTAGTATGGGACTCCTCAATGACATCCAGCTAGGAATCGAACTTCATAAGTATCTATGGATGAAAAATATCAAGCTTCACATTCACTTGTTTCTACTATATCATCAAATAATCGAAATCGACCATAAGTTGGGCAAAGTTAACTTCTATGATATTTTCAACCTGGAGAGTATCGTCATTTCAACTATTCTATCGTAAATTGTTATACATCAATCTTAAAAAATTGCAAACACTCCCCCTATTATTATTATTATTTGTCCCTTGGGTTCCTAATGGAACATAGGACTTCAGTAGCACGTCTCCAGTGCACTCTGTTCTCTGAAATCTTTTGGACCTGGCTTCACGACAACCTATAATCTCTCATTTCCTCCTCGCACGATGCCCTCCATGTCACCCTCAGCTGGGACGCCAAACTCGTCGTTTCTCATCTGCGTTCCACTCAAGGGACTGGCCTGACACGTGATGTCCCCAGTCGGCCTTCTCAGTGTATGCCTAATCTAATCCACCTCCACTTTCTTCTGCATATTTGTTGAGTGATAGGTTCTTGGATAGTTCGTTGCCAGAGTTCCTTGTTCCTTATTCTTTCTGGCCATCTGGTCTTCAGTAACGAGCGTAAAACACTCGCCCTACTGAGTCAGTTTTATTCA